AAGATTCGCAATTGTTTTATTTAATTTAACTTGGTCCATACAATTCATTAAATAAATAATTAAATTATCCACAGACCTAAGTACAGGAGTAGTTAAAAAAGACAAAGCATATTAATAAGTGAAATTGTGTTGATGTCAACAAGGCACTCAAAGCTTGATATATATTTTATCTGACATTTTGAAATCGTTAAGACCAAAGTAATGCTAATTAAAACACCAAACGGGTTGAAACTTTGAGTAATAAAAGTTTTATTTTCCCAAATATATATACATGGAGCAAAATGACGTAATTTTTCGTGTTAATTTGCATAATCCATTCATAACTTTTTTTTTATTCTAAGTCTTTCTTGGTAACCATATATTAATATCACCCTTGTTAGGCAACAATTAATTCAATATTTGTTAATAAACAATTAATCTAAAAGCTGAATTGAGCCAAAGAAACGCTCAACATATAAAGACGGTCATAAATAATTTCATTTTGATCAAATAATACTCCATTTGTAATTAACATTATCAAAACAGAACAAATCATATGCACAGAAGTTAAAGAGAGTGTACCTCTGAAGTCGTCATATTCACCATATCATAATCATCGAAAGATTTAATGCCGCAATTCTCCATCTCAACATACTGAAGAGATGACAGCACCATGTTATAATTCTTGGCACAAATGCTTTTGATCTTTGGCGCATCTTTGATGGAGAGGGTCTCCAAAGCAGGGAGATCGAAATGCAGCTCTTCATTTTGCTGATCTTGTCGGTAGTTCCCAACAACATATTTTAGTTCGGGAACTTCCCTAATAGTCAAAGACTTCAATTTTTGAAGACCACCAGATATTTCTGATTGAAATAAAAATTCCAACTCGCCGCAATTGAAAATTTCTAGATTCTCTAGTGTTCGGAAAATGGAACAGTAATTCTTATTATCAACTTGAGCATCTCCCTCATGTGTTGTGATGCACTTCAGTTTATGACATGTAGTGATTGTCAATTTTTCCAAACAAATTGTTGAGGCTGCAATGGATACAGTTGACAGTGATATTAAGTTCCCACAGTCTGTGAGTGTTATTTTCCTAACATTCTTCAAAAGGCTTTGAGCTGCAGAGAAAGGTGGAACTCCTTCTGTGGATGCATCTAACTCCTACAAACATAAACGAATGCATAATTGCGATTCAGTAATAGTATAGTAACCGATTCCATAAATCTATGGAGTTCCCCAAACCAAATAATTTATTTATCTTATCTTATTATTAATCAAAAATTTCTTATTGCAAAACAAACAATACGTAAAATTCGAATGTACAATAATACATAATATTCAAAATATTTTTAATGTAATAACAATCAGTAAAATAGATCATTCTTGTACCCAAAAAAACTATAAGTAAAAATTTTATATGCAGTAATGTACAGCAAATTAAATAATGTCAAAGCATAACAATAAATCAAAATAATTATGTTTTTTTCAGTTCTATTTCCAAATATTTTTGAGATAAACTAATTGAACCCTTCGTGAGTTCTATTAACCCATTCCATTTAAAACTTTGTTAATAAAAATTTAAGTAAGATGACTAAAATACAAGAGCACTTTTCAATTTAAAATGTTTAATTTATTGCCTTTTGTAGTATTCAAATTCAATTGTCCAACATGAGAACAAACATTGAAATTTGTAAAACATTTGCAATTTGGTGCTTTATTTAATATTAATTTGATCCATGCATATTTCAGTGAGTTGATGACATCTCCTGAGCGACAAATCCTCCAACAAAATAGTTGATGCAATGGATAGAGTTGACAGTAACGTTAAACTCTCACGGACAATATAAAAGTTTCATTTTTATAATATTTTTCAATGACGAAATCAAAAAGGCTTTGGGCTACAAGAAACAAGAGAGCTCTATTTATGGATGGATGGATGTAATTGCTACTGGCCAATATATAAATAAAATCTATGCAATAATATATACGAGGTCTCTGATTTTTGTCCTGAGTGAAAAACCTTAATTCACTTTTTTCCTCATATTAATCATTTTTCCCAACCTAATTTATCTAACTTATAAATTCATGCGTATCTAATGTTATACAAGAATATTTTATGAAGACCAGATCATATTTATTGGAATTATGTTATTTATTTAGCTTCTTTAATTTACTGAAATTAGTTAAGTAACTCTTACTAAAAGGATTGAAGGAGTAGTATATTAACTAGATTAATTTGAAATAAAATTTAGTTTGATTTTTCATTTTAAAAATTGTACTCTAAACCATCATAATCACGCGTCTTCATCATAAAAATATCACTATGCATCAATCCAACAAAAAGGTGAGTATTTTGAAAGTTGAGTTTATTTGAAAAGTAAATCTACAAGACCTCTCACGGTGGTCTGTTCAATCTTTATTTTCAAGAAAAAAACTAATCTAACCTCTCGAATTATTTGGCCCACTTTAATATATACTGTCTCGACAAGCAGTAATCTAAAAGCTTAACAGAGTTACTTGACCGGAAAAAAAAAAAACACAAAAGGAGCTTAACATATAAAGACCGTCATAAATAATTCCATTTTAATCAAATACGCCACTTCTAGCTAACATGATCAAAACATAACAAACCATATGTTCAAAGTTAAAAAGAATGTACCTCAGTAGTTGTCCAATACACCATGTCATAATCAGTGAAAGATTTATAGCCACACCTCGCAATGTGAACATACTTAAGAGATGACAGTGCCAATTTATAGTTCTGGGGACAAGTACTGTTCAAATTTGGCGCACCATCGATGGAGAGGATCTCCAAAGCAGGAAGATCAAAATGCAGCTCATCATTGTGATTCAGAATGGATGAATGTTGGTTCCCAACAACATATATTAGTTTAGGCACTCTCCAGACAGTCAAAGACTTCAATTTTTGAAGACCACCAGATATTTCTGATTGAAATACAAATCCCAACTCCTCGCAATCCTGAATATCTAGATCCTCTAGTGTTGGGAAAATGGAACAATAATTCTTATTATCAACTTGAGCATCTCCCTCTTGTGTTGTGATGCACTTCAGTTTATGACATTCCCTGATTGTCAAACTTTCCAAACAAATTGTTGAGGCCGCAATGGATACAGTTGACAGTGATATTAAGTTCCCACAGTCTGTGAGTGTTATTTTCCTAACATTCTTCAAAAGGTTTTGAGCTACTTGGGAAAGAAAAACTCCACATGTGGATGGATCTATTTCCTATAAACACAAATCTCTAGAAAGTTATATTTATCGCTAGGAAAATAAATCAATCTTATTCCTAAACAAACAACATATAAAATTTAAATATACATTAATACAAAATATATAATTTTAAACAAAACATCAATCGCTAAAATAAATCACTCTTATTCCAAAAGCAAACAATCAATACCATTTGAAGATGCAATAATTTATGCAGTAATATACAACAAATAATATCAGAGCGTAACAATGGATCAAAATAATAATATCCTTTCATTTTTTTTCAAATATATTTTTATGCAAATCTAGTCGAACGCTTTATTAATTATATTACCGGATTCGATATATTTTATAACTCTGTTAGCAAAATTTTGAGTAAAATGATTCAAATACAATAAAATTTTTAATTTAAAATGATTCAAATACAACAACAAAAGAACACAGTCTATTTAGGATTTGAGCTGCGTGGGAAGGAAAAACTCCACATGTGGATGGATCTAATTCCTATAAACACAAATCTTTAGGAAGTTATCGCCCAGAAAATAAATCAATCTTATTCGAAAACAAACAATATATAAAATTTAAATAGACATTAATACATAATAAATAAAAATATTTTAAACAAAACATCAATCGCTAAAAAAGATCATTCGTATTCCAAAAGCAAACAATCAATAAAATTTAAAGATGCAATAATTTTTATGCAGTGATATATAACAAATAATATCAAAGCGTAACTGTGAATGAAAATATAACATCCTTTCATTTTTTTTTCAAATATATTCTTATCCAAAACTAGAGGAATGCTTTATCAATTCTGTGTCCGCATTTGATATATTTTATATTGTGTTAATAAAATTTTGAGTAAAATGACCCCAATACAATAAAACTTTTTAATTTAAAATGTTTTTTGCCCCGTGTGGCATTCAAATTCATCTGTCTAAAAAACATTGGAATCTGTGAAATATTTGAAATAAATCATTCTTATTCCCAAAATAAATAATCAGTAAAGTCTTTGCAATTTAATCTATATGTCTTAACTAATATTAATTTGGTCCATACAGTTTCCTTAAATAAATAGTTAAATTATCCTCAGATATTTGGTACTCGAATCTTGAAAGGTATTTCATTTAACATTTTGAAATCGTTAAGATCAAATTAATGGTAATTAAAACATCAACAAATTAATTGAAACTTTGAGAACTAAAAGCTTTATTTTTTTCCAAATAAATACGGAGCCAAATAACGTTTTTCTGAAAATAATTGTTATTTTGTTCGAAGTCATTTTTGGTAACAAATGTTAATATCACCCCTCAAAGGTTAGTATTTCAAACTACTTTTGAATTATATGTCATAACAAGGATCACAGTAGATATTTAATTTTAACACTCAGGCCTTATTTTGTTTAATTGTACACCATTTATTTGAGAGAGGCAGCTGAACAAAAATAGTGAGGCAAGTGTAGCATACCAGTGGGATTGTGCGGTCATGCGGTCTTTGTTCGGAAACAGTAATTTTGGTATCTTCACTGGCGGGCCTCGATTTATTGAGAGAACAACATGCTTGAACCCAAGAGAATGCACGCCTGGCAGGACTTTGATTTATGTTGTTGGAATTATGTGTTGAAAGTGGAGGTGATGGCTTCTGCATCGGTGGGCCCATGAGTGGGTGATATTCTTTGCACATTCCAATGAAACTTGGTACATCAAAAAGTTCCAACTCTTTCAGTGAGGGGAGCATGGCTTCTTCCGCCTCTTGGAACTTATCAAATATGTACTCCAGCTGCTCACACCAATATATACTCAACATTTCCAAAGATGCAAGACCTCCAGCGAATAGAATTGGCAATATTATTCTTAACTTGCTGCACCATTCAATTTGAAGTTTTTTCAATTTTGGGAAAAATGAGTCATGGTAACTCTTTTGATTACTGTCATCGTCTTCACTCACTATGATGCATTCCAATGCACTACAGTCCCTAATTGTTAATTTTTCCAACTCCATCAGACTTCGTGCAGTGGATGGTTGGAAAACTGTCACCAACATTGGACAATCTTCCAGTTGCAGGGACTTAAGATGACATAAGTTGTAGTTGCCATTAGATAATATGCTCTGCAGTCTATGACACCCGTTCAACTTCATAATCTCTAATTGCTCCCAAACACCAGATGGTAGAGAACCATGACATAAATCTTCAACTTCTACTTTAGAGAGATGTATTCCGACCAAATTACGAAAAGCAGCCACACCATAATCATGATCTTTAGTATATATGGGGAACTTCGTATAAGGACAAGAACTCAAATGAAGAACAATCAAATCATTCATCATGCCTCGATCATCTGTTGCAACAATGTCAGGGATAAGATTTTTCCATATTCTTTGCGCATCCTCTCCTTTCAAGATGAGAAGTTCAGCTCTTCTGACAAGCTGCTTAAATGTTGCCTCTGAGACTAAATGACTTAATTGATCATCTATTCGAATGCATCTTGACATGGAGCCATACTTCTCAAAATAACCTGAAAGGTCCTTAGAAGATATACAATATCTATGTAATGTAAGAGGAGATCCATTTTGAGAAATTGCATCTTTTTCTTCATTGTCAAACCAATTATCAACAAAAGTTAACTCTTCTAGCTGTGAGCATCTCTCAATCACTTCAAAAGGATTATTCTTTTCAATTTTACATCTTTCTACCTCCAATGATCTCAACATTTTTAGTTTCAAAAATTCACTTGGTAATTCATTGATTGAACAATAATAAAACCAAATAGTCCCAAGACTCAACAAGTCTCCTAAGATAGAGATGTCACCTAAATCCAAATTCTTGAGAATGAGCGTTCGAATGTCCTTCAATGATTGGAGTGAATTCATCAACGATAGAGCTGGAGTTCTTGTGTAATAATAATTATCAAATAAAACCAAAACTTTGAGCCTCATCATCTCTTTAAAGAATGCACACGAGACCTTGAACTCCTCTGAATCATCTAAAATTATTAATAGAACCTCCAATTTACTTCCGTCAAAGTTAGTAGGAAAATCATCATTATTCCAAATCAGAAAATATCTCAAATTCTCTTTTATACGCATTTTCGAATCTATGAGAGATTGGATGTCTTTGGCTCCAATCTTCAAAGCTACATCACGAACCAAATCATGCATCTTTACATATTCATATTCCCCATGCAACAATAAAGAGGAATCTATGAGTTCCATTATAGCTCCATCCACTTCACTTCTTGCTAAATGGTGTATGTCATTTTCCCCAAAAGAACCCAACCCTGTACCAATTTTGGTTAAAACTTGTATAGGAACTTGGTAATCTTCTGGGAACAAAGAAGATATAAGAAAGAGCTCTTTGGCCTTTTCATTTTTCAAGTTATCGTAGCTTAACTTCAAGCATTTATAAGCATCATTCAAATCCTGATCAACAACATGATCTTCCAAGGTTTTCAAAGCATCCTTCCAAACTGGTGTAGGTTGACTTTTTAGTACTCTAGCTATTGCTACAATTGCAACTGGTATTCCTCCACAATGCTCCACAATTTTTTCTGGCATACCCTTCAAACCACGAGGGGAATTATTTAATTTGGCATGTGCATCAAAAAGTTTCAATGCCTCTTTGTTGTTTAACATGTGTAGTTCAATCATTCGGCATCCCATTTCCTTACAAACACGTGAACTACGTGTGGTTATCAATAAATTACAGCCCTTGTGGCGAGATGGGATCCCCAAATTTTCTATCAAATCAAACTTTTCCCATACATCATCTAGTATTATAAGTAACTTTTCGTTGTTGTTTATGATTCTGGAAAATATTATACTTGAGAGTTCTTCTTCCTTCACTTCCTCTAAACTCAAACCTAAACCTTTTACAAGTTCACCACGAATCTTTTTGAAATCAGGAGGCTTGGAGACAACAAGAAATATGAACTTGTGAATTGATTTAGATTCTTTTAATTTATAACCCACTTCTTTTGCCATTGAAGTTTTGCCTGCTCCACCGATCCCTTGTAATCCAATCATATTGCTATTCTCATCCTGCAATGCTTTCAAAAGATCTTGGAACTTTAACTCTTTGCTCTCAAAATGAATGTAATCTTGTGGAGGAAGGTGTCGTATGTCTAATACATTTGCTCGACTAAATACCATATTGGGATTATAACTTCCCAATAATCTTTCAATATGTCGAGTCTTCTTTGCTAACTCTTTTCCTCTTCGATATTGCCACCAACAATTAGAACACCAGCCAAAAAGAATTCTTCTTTATTTTAGTATCTATATTGGTACTGATGATGTCATCTGCTTCACGCTCCCATTGCCGATCTTCAGACTTAAAACTAAACACACCTCTCCCTTTTTGAAAATTTCTCTTCATATCCTCATGCTTTGCAACTAGTATTTTCCTTTGTCCATCAAAATTTTCAACATAACTATTGAAACAACATAAGTATTGAGCTTCATTTTTTACAAGATTCACCAAACTTTGGACTTCATCCTTTGCAAGGTCAAGCAAGCAGCTCTCCATCTAACATGAATACAAGCTAATTATAGTTCGTCTATGACTATCATACTAGTTGGGATTTCAATCATCAAATCAATAACACCCCCCCCCCCAAATAATTAAATCAGAAAGATGCTGCTCTGATGACTTGATATCTCAAACATTGCAAGTTAGAAGTGTTGAAAAATTGTGAATAAATTTGCATTAAAATATGATCTTCATGAAAAGGAAAACATACAAAGGAGAAATGTAATGAAAGCAAATGGCTCAAGTGCTCTATCATTAACAATTTGAGACCCCTTTGTCTTAAATTGCGAAAATGAATTGAAATATCAATTTTAAAATCAACTAAAATTTCTAAAATTTACTGTCGTTAACAGTAATTTATACGCGCAGTATACATGTGCCCACAAACTAAATTTTCCCGGCCGGTCTAACGCTGTCATGACGTGGCAAATGTGTAACCGAATTTCTAGTGTCATGGACTATTTTGTTAGTATATCATCTTTTTTATAAAAAAAAACATTTACTAAAAAATTGGAAATAAAATTTTCAAACACGGTTTTCTTTAACTTTATTGAATTGTCTTTATAGTATTATGTGTATGTTACACATAACAGCCGAACAAAATTAAGATGATCATATAGAGTTATGCACCCACAATTTAACAATTTTCAGAATATTATATTTACTTTTTTTTCTGGTTAGGTACTTTTTTGGGGAAAAAAAATTGGACCATGCGATACCATATTTGTGTATATATATGGGTGTAAGGAAAATAGTAATAAAAAATATAACACTACATAAAAATAACAGAAAGAAACTCAATCAAATAAAAATGCATCCTTACCTCTTTTTTTTCTCAGATTTCAGGGTCGAACCAAGATAAAATAAAAGAGATTCACAAACCAGAACACAAGAATGGAAATCCTGTCAATAAGAAATATGTGAAAGCTTTATTTACGAGAGAAATAATATTAATAAAAAATGAACAATAAGTATGAGATTAAAGTGATCACCAATTATTTCATTCACCTAATCACAAGCAACATACATATCTTTTTGTTTTTAATGGTGTTTTTTAATAATGGGCAAAGAATTTGCATTTTGCAAGTCTCTTTTTTCAGAAACTTTCAATTATTTACAATTGAAAATATTTGAATTATAATATAAATATCAATAACTATACAAAAATCATAATGTGCATTTACCACTTCTTTTAGATCATTTTAATAGTAATAGAGACAATACTGAATGGCATCCAAATTTTAATAGGAATTAAAAAGAAGACCATGCAAAACTATTATTATTAAGAAATTATCTAAGAATTGATGAAGAGAAAAATAAAAACATAGGAGTAGCAAAATAACAAAGTACTACTGATTTTACAAATTTTAGAATGCCATATATATATAATTTATATAATAAATCTGAAAAGTTACCAAATCACCATTAAAGAGCTCAATGAAACTTCAATGAAACTGTACATCAATAAAATAATAGAAACAAAACATACAAATAAAAGAAAACACATACACTGTTACCTTTTTTTTTTTTGGCTCTGGGGATTTCAACCCACAGAGAAGTCTCCTTTTTGTTTTGTGTTTTTTTTTTTGCCTGGAATGTCAAAGAAGAAAATGATTGTTAAAGAGAAATGAAAGAGATTTGGATAATAAGATGATAATGCAAGTACATAGATAGTTAAACAGAAGCATATATATATAAACTTCTGCAGCAAGAGATGAACGGATACAATATCCTTATTAATTGGGAAGCGCACCCCAATTGCCGCCGCCTCCACACGACGAGCCACCGCCGCCGCCACCAACTACTACTACTATTATTATGATTATGATTATGATGATGATGATCGATGATCTTACCAACCTTCTATTTTGTCTTAGTTATTATTAAAGTCCAAATCCTTGACTTTGTTATAAATAATTTTTATTTAAAGAGGCAAAGGTCCAAATATAGTCATAAACTTACACCCAATGTGCACCAAAATACTATATACTTCAAGAAGAAAAAAAAGATGGTCTTATGAACCACAAAACATCGGAATAAGAAAAAATCACTAAGTACTAATAGTTTCCATGGTCTTTTATGAGGTTTTCTACACTTCTTCATCCTTGGCTTTTCTTCTTTCTTGCTTTATTATCACTTTGTTATAGATACTCCAAAACAACATAGTATAATCGTTTGTCATAGAGGTCATTATTCAAATGCTAACTAGAGCAAGGGCTAGCCCCCTTGAAGGGCCAAGGGCCTAAAAAAAATCGGCCCTTTAAAACCTGCATATCTCAAAATCATATTATTCTTAAGGTTTGACTCTTAGGCATGTGGGATGAGAGCCTAAAAGGACTAGACCTTTTATGTTACTTTTTAAAATTTAAATTATTTTTAACTATTTTAAAATAAAAAGATAAAACTTCTAAAAAATTTTATTTGAATTATAAATAGTAGTGAAATAAACTAATGGCGTACAGAAAAGAAACATCAGACACCAATAAACTATTATCCAAACTCAAAAAACCAAAACCAAATGAAACAGAGGAAGCATAAAGATAAAAACAAAGCAACTAAAAATTAATAACATCAACATGATTATTATCTTCATCTTCATCAATATCATCAAGATCAACAATATTTGATTATTCTTCACTACAAGTGGGCTCTTCTTCAAGGATAAAAATATCAAGTTTTTATCTTAAAACTATAAAGTAGTTATGAGTATAAATGAGTGCGTAAACATTTGTTAGAATAAGAAAAATTTTATACTTTATTAAAACATGTGAATCGATAGTAAAGAAAGATTTAGTAGTTTCTGTAGTAATTAGAATGCTAAGAATATCAGTTGTCACTCTTGAAAAAATTAACAATTAATTTTAATTATTCTTCTACCGGTCCAAGACATCTAATTTTTTTCAAGTATGTTACTTAAAGTATTAGTGCTTCTAAATATTTTTTTAGTTCGGACTTGTTCAGAAAAAACTGATCAATAAATATATAAATATATTGATAATAATAAAAAAAATAGGTGGGCTTAAAAAAGGATTGGCCCTCGTCCAAATGGGCTTTATAGTGCTAGCCCTTTTAAGCCTTTTTTTTTTTAACCTCTTAAAATATAGGCTCGGCTCTTCACTTAAAAGGGCTTAAACGGGTTGGCCCGATAGACTTAGCCCGTCTTGATAGCTCTAAATTTGCTAACAATATGATTATAAAAATACAATGGGAAAATTAGAAAGAATGACCTAGAAAAAATTGATATTTATCAAGCAAGAACTTAAAAAATGTAATTATTTTGGAGCCCCAACTAAATCTCATCCGTTTTTCGTTAAAGAAATATTTTCACGCTATTATTTGACTTGTATATACCCATATTTGATATTTCTACGGATGTCAATTTTCAGGTATAATAACAAAAAAATTGCACGTAAAGACAATAATAAATAATAAAAAAAACACAATGAAGGTATCCTCACCTTTTGTTTTTTCAAGAAACTTCAGTGCAGAGAAAGCAAGTGAAAATAAAAGAAATTTCTCAAGCCACCATACCAGAAGCACAAACTCTGTCAACAAAAGTGAAAGCTTTAATTATAAGAAAAAGAATGCTAATAGAAAATATATAATAAGTATGAGATTAAAGTGATCAACCATAAAAATATGCAAATTTCGACATAGTAAAAGCCACTAAACACCCACTTTCGCTTATCCGTTTGTAATGAAAGTCATAATCAAAATGCTAAATATGATTGGAAGAATACTCCAATTGATATGTGTGTGTGGTGTGTGGGTGTGTGTGTAAGAAAAATGATAATATAAACATAAAACAATATAAAAATGATAAAAAGCACATTCAAATTAGAATATATACTTACCTTTTTTTTTTTAAAAAAAAAAAAGAGATTTCAACGTCGTTTCATAGAGAAACCGGGAGAAAATAAAAGAAATCTCAAATCAAAACACGAGATTACAAACGCTGTTAACAAGAAAAAGACAAGCGAAAGCTCTAATTATAAGAGAAAATATGTAATAAGTATGAGATTAAAGTGATCAGAAATTAATCCATTCATAAAATATTTTTTGGATATCACAAGGAATATGCATTTCTCTTTTGAACTATTTTTTTTAAATAGGGAAGGAATAAGCATTTCGCAGTTCTCCTCTTCCAGAAACTTTCAATTTTTCATAATTGAAAAGATTCAATATAAACATCAAATGGCTACAACATTATAATTAAGACTATACAAAAAATATCATAATGCTTTATCAAATGTTTTGAGATTTCAACGATATTAAAGAGAATACTAAAGGAAACGGTCACGTAAAAAATAAAGAATGTAAAAATATGTAGAATTGCATACAGATTTGTGTGTGTGTGTGTGTGTAGCAAGAAGGTAAATAAGACATTTTGATAATGCAAAATCATTATTGCCAAAGATGACATCTAATAAATTGATGAAGAGGAAAATAAAAGAGAAGAAAATAGAGGACACAATAGCTGCCAAACAAATTACTAATTTTAAAATGAAATATTTAATTTTAGAAGTTACAAGATCCAGTTATATAGAATAAGTCTGAATATTGAAAATCACCATTAAAGAGCTTGAACACTATGTAAGTTAATATAATAATATAAATAGAC